TTGATGAGCAAAATATTGGGTCATCGGAAAAGTCATAACAGTTTTGTATTTGTATTTTAGCCCCATATTAAATGAGATGAACTTAGAAATCTCCCACTCACACTGTATTTTACTCAAAAGCATTTATAAGCAATCATTTACCAATGGCATTTTTCCAGAGTGTGGGCATTGGAGAATTATATCTTTACATTTTTAATGTTTAACTTACATTACATGGCATTTTGCAATTTGTGTAGACTTTGACATCTTACAATAAATTTATTCAGTAAAAGTGCTTACTCCAAATCACTAATTACAATGAGATAGGAGGAATATGTTCTAGTGTACTGTAGCACAGTAGGATAGTATAGCTAACTATTTATCGTACACTTCAAGATACCAAGAATGAGGGATTTTGAATGTTCCCAATAAATGTAACCATAAGTATTGAGGTGATGGATATGTTAATTACCCTGATTTGATTAATACACATTGTATTCAAGTATTGAAAAATCAAACTGTACTCCATAAATATATATATTATTATATGTCAATTAAAAATAATTTTTAAGAAACCAGCAGATGGTGTAATGGTTATATTGCTGTATTCTATGTAGTCGAATGCAGTTCGAGTCTCAGATCCAGCGGCTTGAAACTCACCGTGGGTGCATGTGTGTGTATGCCCAATTTCCCGAGAGGGAAATGGAGGAAAAGGGATTCTAGTGTGGCCATTCCCTCTGGGGGTTGATTTCTTGCTTTCTGTCTTTCTGTCTCTTAGGTGAGTGCACACGCCCTATAGGAAAAATCTCTTAAAAAAAAAAAGAATATTTCTTAAAAAAGATTTGCAGTCCTTAAAAAATTTTAAAACATGTACTGTATACATCTGCAATCTGATCAATTTTTTTCTGTATGATTCTACAACTTTATCTAGCATTATTTAACATAGTTCCTTCACAACATTTAAGAAACAATCCTTCCAAATCAATAATTATAATTTAGAAGAATAACATTTTTAAAAAAAAATATGTTCAGGAAGAAAAGAAACTAAAATATGTCTATTTCAAAAGTAAGAAAAATCCTTATTATTTTGCAAAATAATTATGAACAGACGGTCAAAATGCGGTAATATGGAAAACTATTATAGAATCAATAATTTTATATAAATGGTAGCTTATATAAACAGCAGTTTTTAATGTCAGAACTGCCTCAGAATGCTTAGGCAAAACAGTGCAGCACAATGATAGGTTAAATAAAAATTTATCCTTTTAATAAAAAAATCACTAACTGGCAATGTGTGTTTTTGAGCTAGTGGCTAAAGGTTTGTGATAATAAGGACAATGTCTTTATTGTCCACTGAAGTATCATCAATGCCTATCACAGTGCCTGAAACAGTAGCACTCATAAATAACTGTTGAATTAAATCCTGTGAGGAATTTGTAGCTTCTCTCTGTTATCTATGCTTTTTACACCATTTACATAATACATACTACATGTAGCTTATCTATGTATGTATATACAAGATCTATAGTATATACAGTAAATTATACCCAGTGAGTTCTACAAAATATGACCTAATATATATACCTTAAGGTCTTTTTGAGCAGGAATACTGGAAATATTTGGCTCCACCTAACATTAGTCATTATCTTTCTGGTTAGTCTGGATAGGAATTAATTTAGCCCTAGAAGATTAGATGAAGGGAAAGATGAGTCTTATGATCAAAGTCTCTGACTTTCTGGGAGAAAAATCACCTTATGAGAGTGTCCAAAAAAACAACTGCTTAATGCTTTACTACAAGGGAAAAATAAAGGCATATGGAAATCTGAATTTTTATTGTGTTTCTAAATTTGTGATAATGAATAACTTTTTGGATATGAAATTAGAGGTGACTCATAAACTTTCCTTCTGACTATGGTAATAATAATATTCATTTGTGTACAGTAAAATATTAGGTTGAGAGATGAGCTGTCTCTCTAAAGCCTAAGAAAAATTAATGTGGAACACCTGATATTTGACTGTGCTTCCAGATGGAGGGACAGCTTGACAAATGCCATCATAATTTACAACTTTAAAAAAGTGTGGTGTGAATGCATTTGCAGTAAGCTTTAAACAGCTTGGATTATTTACAGGTACAACTGCATTTAATATGAAATTTCAATGGATTTAAAATATTATTAGATTCAAAAACTGATCACAGAATATAGGTATGATATATGAACAGTGTGTTTAGATGCTTTAATTAAGTATCTAAAAAAATGATACATCTGTTTGGTGAAGTTGGATGGTAAAATAGCAATTGGATATTGTATTTGGTTATTTTATTTTATTTTTAGAGAGAAAGATTTTTGCTATAGGATGCATGTGTTTGTTGGAGAGACAGTGAGACAGAAAGTGGGAAGTCACCCTCCCAACCAGGGGGGATGGCCATGCTGCAGTCCCTTCTCCTCCATTCTCCTCTTAGGATTTTGGGCACGCATGCACACACACCCTCCATGAGTTTTAAGCCATCTAGTCTGGGACTTGAACTGTGGTCAAGTATATGGGAGTCCAGCGACCCATCTGCTGTTTCCTGTATTTGGTTATTTTCTGGCACTGATGAGGGTCTCACCTTTAGAAAGATAATGTATTTTGGACTTATCCTCTCTGATGGTCTAGAAGAATAACATCACCCAAAACAAATATGAAAACTCAGTTTCTAAACTTGAGGATAACCTGGATACTTGTACCTATATAATAAGAAAAGTATTGACTGCTGTTAAGATTTCTATTGAAGTATAACCCAAAGGAGCATATACCTTTGTGTCCCTACAAGTTAGGAAACCGAACATGGAACATTACTGGTTAAATTGAAGAAGGAATCATATATATCACACACACACACACACACACACACACACACATAACATCGTATCTAATATAATTATATGCACTCTCTCTCTCTCTCTCTCTCTCATCGTATCTAATATAATTATATGCTCTCTGTCTCACACACGCACACATATATATACCATACATGGCATATACACCATATTATATATTTGTTATAAATGTAAATATATATATATATATCTTTCCTCTGTCAATATATGGACATGTGTATAGGTTGTTCTTGTGTGTGTGTACCAAGAGGCTTTGGATGTAGATAACATAAGGTGGTAGGGAGATGCAAGAACATGACTCTTTCATGACCATTAGTCCATGAAAAGGGAAGCAATTACTTTGATACATTTTAACTTGAAATTCATTGATAGATATTGTTATCCACTTTTTGTCAGTAAGTGGAGAGATGAGAAGACTAAACAGTGAAGTAAAATTGAACTTCCTAAAATGAACTGCTTAGTGCATGACCAAATTTCACAACTATTGTATTCTGTACATTCAGTCACCAAGTGTTCGTGGTCTCTTAGGCTTTAGTCTCAGCCTAGGGACTGAGTATTCAACAGACAAAAGGACGAGGGCCCTCTTCTCTTGGAGCTTACAATCTAAATGGAAGACATATATTGAACAGCTCAAAATTCAGTAAATATGCAAACTGCATTTCATGGGTCTATGAAAAAAACTGTGTTAGGAACTAAAGCCATCAAGAGAGGGTGGATCTAATTTTATTGAGGTGGGGCAGGGTAGGCTTCTCTGAGACCTAAAGGGTGAGGAGATGAGGAAGAAGACCAACAAGTGAAGGACAGCATGCAAAGAGAGAGATATAGTTGGAGGAGGAGAGGATGACACTATGGTTGAAATATGAATTAGGGCAAGAGCGGCCCTGGGTGAGGTTGGAGAGTAGGTCACTGTGGAGTTGGTATTATACACAGACTGCAATGGACCACTGAAGGATTTACTCCATGATTGCACATGTGTGTTTAGGTGACATGAGCCAATCAACACCTTTTAAAGTTCAATCTGGAGTAGAGAGGATGTAAAAGTAGACACTGGAATACCAATAGCTTGGATCAAAATGCTTGCAGGGAAGATGGAGAAATGAAGCATGATTCAATATCTGTTTAGAAGTTTGAATTTTTGAGTTTAAGCATGGACTAAGAGAGAGAGGAAAAGGAAATTGAGGATGAGCCCAAGGTTTTTATTTAACTTTCTGGTTTCTCTTAATAATCATACTTGATTAAAGAAAAATGTATCCATCCTCCAGTAAATTCCAGATTCCGGAAAGTAATCCCATGGCTTGGCCAGAGCATCCTTCTCCAAACACTCCAGCTAGCTCTTCCAGTCATTGTATTTCTTTTCTGTCTACCAAACAGGCATCATGTTTCGCTTGCTTGTTTGAGAGTACTCTCCATGAGAGTGATGTATCTTGCTGAAGACTATATCTAGAGAATCTAACACACTGTCTGGCACATTGAAAATGCTCAATAAATAACTAATAAAAAATGATGAAGAGTGTTTGACTCCCAAGGAGGTCATAATCTAGCTAAGAGGATGAAGAACTATCCTAAGTGCTTACAAACAAGTGTGGTAGAAAGTGTTATAGGAGAAGAGGGGGAATGTATCTAATTAGAGAAGAAAAAGGAGGAATATTTGAGTACTGTACAGATATCGTCAAAGAGGATATCTGGACTGGAGGCACATTTAAATAAAATCTCTCCCCTCTCCCGAGCAAACACTGGAGCGAAACAGAATAACTCTTCAAAAGAGCTCCAACATGTAGAATAATTTTGAAAAGAATAGTCATTAGCATGAATTGTCCTGCCAAATTACAACCTTGATGACTACCGCCTACATTATCTAACTACTAGCTGCTTCTGGCTGTAGGTATTTTTGCTCGCCTCCCTCCCTCTCTCCCTCCCTGGGAACTGTCAACTCTCAGAAGACTGGTACTCGGGTATCCTCCACGGGAGCCCAAGGCCCTGCCGGCCTATTTGTCGGATGACGGAAGAACATCTACTACCTCATCCCGGAGGACTCTCTGAAGACGCAGTTGCCCGTTAGATAGTGTTTCTCCACCTCGCGGGGTTCGCGCGGAAGGAGAGTGAAAGAGCGACTTGTAACTTGGAGCGCCGACTGCTTTTTACCTGTAGTCGCAATGATCCCTCAGTCTGGCTCCGCCTGCCTAGCTCGGCCTTCCCCAGTGTACAGAGCAAAGGCCAGTCCCGCCGTGGAGCTGTTCCGCCACTCCCCCGTTCCGCCTGCGGGAGGAAAACCGCGGCGAGGCGCGGGCGGGCGGCGCTCCGGGACGGCTCGAGCCGTCACTTCGGTCTCTGACTGGACCTGAGGACGCGGGGAGGGGCTGTCTCTAGGAGACGCCAGACTGTAGGCACTGCCATGGCCCCTGTGCTTAGCAAGGACGCGGCGGACATCGAGGTACCGACTGCGCGCCGGCCGGCCGGGGGCGGGAG